TCCACCTGATGACGATAGTTATTGATAAAAAAACAACCCCCTTAGCCAGGCTGCCAGGGTGTGCGGCAGGGTGGAGGCAGGCAACCTTATACGGTTAAATTCGTCTCGCGCTCCCCTACAACATGGTGATTTCATTTCATGTCCACCTCTAAAAGATTGTTACTGCAATTATTTATCTAATGAACAATTTTAAAAAACACTGTTTCGGCAGGATTTTCGCAGGCAACCTTCGTGTATTCTCTTAATTAGAGCCTCAAATAATATTCATATTTTTTTCGCTCGTCCACCTTATGACGACAGATTCTCTGCAGCCGTCTCTCGTACAATAAAGGCCAAGTCATTAAAAATATTAAAATTTCAAGTAATTCCACAAAAATTCCTATTGATTGTAAAGGTTTCTTTTCAAGCACTCAGAATAAGTTACAACTTGTTCGATATCTTTGCAATTCTGCTCCAGAATATACACGAGTAAAAGAAGACTTCGAAATGTACATCTGTGGAGGATTCGACGATCCAACAAAATGTTTCAAGCTACTAAAAGGGTTTTCATTCTGTGAGGAACCTGAATTTAAATCAAACCACTGAGAAGCTAATTCAAGAATATTTTGTCACATATTTCATGCTGTAAGAATTGAAGCTGCACATGTTATTATCCTGAGTGCTGCTACAGATTTATTCGTACTGGCAATATATTACTCCAAAGAACTAGCAAATATTGGTTGTCTAGGTCTATAATTCGACGGTTCCCATAAAAAGAAACATCTTCTAGGATGCCACTTAGCTGCTGAATCTCTTGGTGAGAGAATATGTCACATTTTACCAGCATTACATTCCGTAAGTGGTTGCGATACTACCAGCAGACTATAGGCAGTAAAAAACAATTTTTTAAAGTTGCATCCGAAGACTTCGTACAAAAAGCCCTTGAATATTTGGGAAACGTTGATCTAAATGCTGGACAGCTAAAACAGTTAGAAATGCTCTGCACATATGTTTTTTCAAAAAAAAACTAACTGGTGATGAACTGCGATATAAGCTGATTTCCCAAAACATAGGTTTCGGCTTCAATTTGATGAGAATAATATGTACGTCAGATGCTTTGCATTTGCATTTAATAAGGGCTACAGTACAAACATATATTTGGGCTATTTGGCAAAATGCATATCAAACTCAATTAAGATTTATCGATTATTCATTTGGCTATGAAGAGAGCAATGGTAACTTACGTCCACGACAAATGACAATGTTGCCTTTGCCATAATCATTGATTCAGCCTTGTAAAATGTACGTCCGAATGTCGAACAATGTCGTGCAGTTGTGAAAAGACAAAATCACCGTGTATTTCATTGTGTAAATGCTTAAACAACGATTGCCTAAATAAAAACTAATAATTATTTATCTCGCTTTCATCTATTTCTATTTGTATTTGCTGTTTCTATTTGTAAATTTTTTAAAATAAATCTTTATTATCATTTTGTGTTTTTTTTTTGTTGGTAATTTTGAACCCACGACTCCTGGGATTCCGGCCCAATGGTCTAGTACAGTTTGATTTGTCACAAACTTTCAAATAATAATAGGTAATAATAATAATATTAAATGCACCGCTGTAGCTATGTGACCATACCTCATGAGCAATGGACGGAAACCCACGGTTGTGAGTTCAAATCCTACTAGCAACAGCAAATTTTAACAAACTTTTCTATTTAAAACTCTGTCGTCTTTTTCACCACAAGAACAAACTGAATTGGAACTATAATAGTCGTTAAAATCACACACATAGCATGGAATTCCTTTATAAGTGAGAGGAGAGGGGATAGAAAAAAAAAATGGATCAAAAAATGAGCCGGCAATATCTGGATTATTAATCTTTGAGCTTCTCTCAGCTACAATCCATTGATAAAATGCGGTCCTCATATTATGCATACTCAAGTCCGTCTAACTCCCGGTCTCAAGGACTACATAGGTGCGGTGAAATTATTATTATCATGGTATAAATATCCGTTTTGCCACATTAAGATACATTGCGACACACTCTATCCCTAAAACATAAAGGAAAGAGAGGCTGAAGAAGAAACTGCATAGGAAAAACCCACATAGGTAAAAAAATAAAATGATGCTTTCCAGATCTCGTACATCACCGATAACGCAAGGAAGAATTCTTCATCTGTAAAAAGATCCAATCAAGAATCAAGAGAAGTTGAAGATTTCAGTATGAGGGAATTATGCATGTATATGTGAATATATATTTTTCACGAAAAAAAATATCTTCTATCATTCCTCCTAAGCCCCATCAACATCAATCTGTGGATCCCTACCTACTTTAAGGAGCAAAAGTGGCCTACTTCAAATAACTCTCAGCTCCGAAGTCATAAAACATATTTGATTGTTTTTCAAAGGGAACTTCCCGTTTTAATGACGTAGCAACAGCAGTAACAAAACAATGACTTAGCATATGAATAAAGTTGCAGGAAGAAACAACGGGAAAACTGCTATGAACAGATTATTTGTTTTCATAAGGTACAGTACTTGTCAGACCCTTAACTTTTAAATATCTGCATCTCAGGTTTCAGAAATCTGGATAGACGAGGAAAGGAAAAAATGGCAACGAATCCTACTCAAAACATCCATTGAAGGCAAAGATTAAACTTACTAAGAGTATTTACCCCTTCAAAAAGGATCTGAAGAATCAGAGAAGATGATCCCAAAACAGAATCTAGAGAATTTGCTATCTAAAATGTGTTTTTTTTTTTTGAAGATAAAAGTCAAAGTGACATTATGTTGGCAATACAATGTAAAATTGTCAATTCTTTCAAATTTTTATGTAGAAAAGGCTTGTGTTGCCAACATAGTTACTAATTTTTGACTTGGGGAATTATCTTTAAAAAAAAAAAACATACTTTATGAATCACTCAACGTTTTATTTTGCTTTTCATGATTTTTCTTCTACAAAGAAAGCCAATATCAGCCCACGCCTTCCTACTACCAACTTATTTGAACGTAAAAAACTAGGAAAGTGGAGATATCGGGTCTTCAAAATAAAAAACAATCCAAGATTGCTATGGTTTTTTAAACGTATGTCTTAGCAATATTTTTCTTCAATTTTGTCAATGAACGTTAATGTCAAAATTTCATGTTAAAAACCCTGACCAATAAAGAAACAGTAATACGACGTACGTTTTCGTAATCAAAGCAATCTTTGATTGTGTTTTTTTTTGAAGACCCGATACAATACACCTATAGTCTGGCAAGTGGTAACTTGATAGCATTGAGCTGACACCACCTGATGACAACCATGTCTTTGGGTTCAGTGGCATCGAAAACACCACCAAAAAATAATAATAAAAAGAAATGCTTGATTTTATACATTCACTGTGCATCTAAGAGTGGTGTCACACATAGCGTTTTCACCGCTGCGGCAAGAACGCTCCGGTTTGCCTGGATGGTGTAATGGCCGTTTCCATCAACTATTTTAGAGGAGCCTTACCGATAAGTATTCCTTAAACTGACATTTCTCCATGTAAAAATGTCATTTTAGGAAATACTTATTGTTAAGGCTCCCCTAAAATAGTTGGTGGAAACGGCCATAAACCAATAATTGTATTAGATGAGAGCTGTCACAGCGTTGTACCGCATCCAAACCGGATGCAACCGCATCATGCTGCGTCGGCACCGCACGACCGGACGACCGTAAGAACAAAAACACGTGCAGTCGTATGTTTGTAGTCACACCTGACGGTTAGAACTAATAGGTCATTGGTTAGAACGCTTCAGAAATTTTTGAGTTCGTGGTTTGTTGTTTGTTTTTTCATTAAATTCCACCATGTTTGGCGTGGATCTATTTATTGAGTACATCCGTGGTAAAAAAGCATTATGGCAGAAAAAGTCGAAAGAATACATAGTCGTACATGCAAATTATGTCGTAGAACTTTGCAACCTTTTACTAGACTCTCGTTTCAAATTGGAAAGGTGAATCCAATATTGATGATCCACCTCCTTGCCTGATAAACCACTCCGCTTCTAGAGCACACACAATCTTCAATGAATTCGCCATGATACTACCACTATCGGACAGCCAAGCTGCCTTAAAAGCCTTAAGGGCTTTCAAATGCACGTCAAAACTAGTCTGGGAGTGTAAACAGACCCTAAAAACACTAGCGACACATAACCAGGTAACGCTGATGTGGCTGCCTGGTCACCGAGGCATAGAAGGAAACGAAGAAGCAGATGGCCTCGCAAAGGAAGGGGCCTCAACACCATACCACGGACCAGAGCCCTACTGTGGCTTAATGAAAAGCCACATCATGGAAGAACTCAACAAATGGGAGAAAGACCAACTATCATCATATTGGAGGCACACACCGGGACTCAGACAGTCAAAAAGGTTTATTACCCTTTCAGCAAAAAGAGCTAAACAGCTCCTAAACATGAGCAGACCAGACATCAGATTGGTGGTGGGACTGCTCACAGGACACTGCCCAGTAAAATACCATTTAAGGTTAATGGGCAGAGCGTAAAACGATCTCTGCAGATTCTGCTCACAGGCAATAGAAACCGCAGAGCACCTGCTCTGCGAATGTCCAGCCCAATTCTGCAAGAGGCTCAAATTCCTCGAGGGGGCAACACTGTCACCAGAAGAAGTGGGCCAACTGACACCCAGGAAAATAGCTTCCTTCGGCAGAAGTCTACGCTTCCTGGAGACAAATTAAGATGTAGAGTCACGCACAAAATATCTGCAAAGGTAACAGTGCTGAGCCGCTGAAAAGCCGAAACGACTCCCCCGAAATCTACACCACTATTACAATTCGACTGGCGAAACATCCCGTTAAAACGGATCCCAATGGGATAGTGTGACAAGTAGACTTCATCCGGTCAAAACGCATCACTTCTTGCCGCAGCGTTAAAAACGCATAGTGTGACATCGCACTAATTTTACCTGTATAAATGACAATGACAATGTTGACAACGTTGACAACCACTACGTCACATTTACAGTGTCAAATTGACAAGAATTTTGAATATTATAAAAAAATCTATTATACTATCTACCTATTAATTTCTATATTTTTCCCTTATATCAGTAGAAAGGCTTACCATATTATATTTTATTATTATCAAATTGCAATTTTTAAAAAAAAAATGGTTGGAAATGGAAAACATCATGAACAAGAAGAATCCGAAGAAGCCAAAGATTTATCGAAATCTGGGTTTCAGGAAGAAGCGAGAAGTGAAACGATATTGTAAGTTTTTAATCGGGTATTTTTTTTTGGGTGGCTTTTAAAACAGCAGGATTTTTTACATACATCTTTGTTTTTTTTTGTGTTTTTGTGTAAGCACCTTCTTTTAAAACTACTGATTGAATAACCGATCTTTGTCTTAGTAGCGAAGAAGCAGGAGAACTACTCTATATAAATCCTTCATTAGCTGGATCTGAACACTTAGAAATCAAAGAAAATCAACCAACCAAGCATAAAGAAGTTGATTTTAAGAACGCAACGGTAAGCTATCAAGAACTCTGCGCTTTGCGAGGCGTTTTAAGTTTTAATGTGATGAATTTTGATGCGGTACATTGACCACCTACGTTTATTTCACGCGTTGTATCCGGATACTAAGTGGATTAAGGATTATTCGTTTGTTTCACAACTATTGAATGGATTAGGATTACTGCTAATCAGTGTTGTTCTTGGGGAATTTTCGTGTGTGCCTGCAGCAACACTCAAATAGTGCCAAATAGTGCCACTTTGATAGATTAGATTAAAAAGTGATGTGAGAGGGTTTTTTGACTTTTCACCTATTTCTTCTTTACACATGATTAAAAGGAGGAAGGTATATTTCATGTAATAAATTTACTTTAATGACAATTGACCACTGTCACTGTCACTGGTCACACTCACATCCACAGCAGCGGAATTCTACTTCACGAGTCGAGTCGAAATTCGTATTCAATTGTCAAAATAGTGATTCGATTTTTTAATTTGTCAATCCGTATTACACGGTACAGTCGTGAGAATTAAAAGTGAGACACCCGACTGACAGGTCCTATCATTTTTCGCTATTTTGGGTAGTCTTTTCTGTACAACGGATTTCTTGTCAAATATGACATTGCCGACGGTGTAGCTGGTGGACCCGTTTAACAATAGGAAAAATCGAGTGTTCCATTTTTTATTCTTACGACTGTACGTGCGGAGCTGTCGCATTCGATATCAAGTGTCATAACAGACAATTCGACTCGTAAAATAGAATCCGAAGGTGGATCCAATGACCTGACAGATCCACCACAACTCTCACAGATCAGGACTGAGGTCACTAGCACAATCTTACTCATCTAAAAAAATTGAAAAAGGATAATCAGGCCTATGATGTATCCACTCCTGTTATTTTAACAGCTATGTTATAGCTCAACATCTATACTTCTCTCTATTTTGACGTATAGAATAAACAGTGACAGGCAACTTAACGTTGCTGTTAAAATAACAGAAAATGATACATCATAGGCCTGAATATCTAATAAATGTGAATCGTGCCAAATTTCTCAAAGTGGTGCCACGGTGCATTTTGCGGGCAAATAGTGCTACTTTTGGCACAATTGTGCCCTTTGAACAACACTGCTGCTAATCCTTTCTTAAACGGGGTGTGACTCTAAAAAACGACTTAAGCTACTTAAATTCAGAAAAATTCTAAAATCTCTCGTGAAAACCGCAGTCCTATATTCAAAATAGTCTCCGAGAAAATTCCTTGTGAAGATAAATTATGCAGGAGCTTGTGACGTCGCAACCGCCGAAATCGCAATCTTCTTTTCGGTCAGTTGTCAGTGAACCGTACCCTATACTTTCAATGGTTGCATTTCGCTCTAGTGAGATAATTGTCTTTTGTTTTCGAAAATTCTTACACGTGATAAAACTGTGCCTGAGTGCCTGATAATATGGTGTGACGTCACAAACACCTAGTTGTAACTTCAAACCGCCCTAGCTCGAAAACGAACCATCATAGCAAGATGCGGTTTAAATATTTATCCTTATAGATTTTTTTGCACTAAAATTTTCATTTTTGAGTCACACCCCCTGTGAGCCTTATTAAAACCGCAAGCGCAAATTGCTTTGTGTCATTTGTGCCTACCTTCATTAATGGCGAGTTTATAAAAAAAAATTACCACTTAAACTAAGAATTAACATTTAACTTAAATAGTTGACGTTATGATATTTAACGTAGCGGTTTATAAAAAAAAATAAGACTTATCAACTAAGAATTGAGAATTACATAAGTGCACGTTGAAATTATTTGTTGTAAGTTAATTTTCTTAAATTAGTTTAAGTGTTAATTTTTTTTTTATAAACTCGGAAAAAAACGAAATTTTGCAAAACTGTTTTTATTTTTTCTTGACTTTATTTTAAGTGATATTCCAAAAAAAATATCACCTCATCATAACCATTTCTTCTCCCCTATAAGGTGCTACCATCAAATTCATAATCTGACGTTTCGTATTTGGGCCACCATCATTAACTTCATTTTTTTAAATACTGACCCTTATTTTTTATTTTAGATTTTATAGGCTTCTGATATCCCAAAACCAATGACTTATTGCACCTACAAGAAAAAATTATATTATTGGCACTTTCCATAAGAACTGAATGTGTTAGAGAGAGACAGAGAAGAAATTTGGTGACCCAAAGACGAAACGTCAGATTTTAAATTTGATGGTAGCATCTTGTAAGGGAGAAGAAGTGGCTATGATGAGGTGATATTTTTTTTGGAATATCACTTAAAATAAAGTCAGGAAAAAATAAAAACAATTTTGCAAAATTTCGATTTTTTCCGGATATCTCCGGAAGTATTCGGCATATCCTAAATATCAAAGCCGCATTTTGTTAAGCATCAAATTACGCAACTTTGCCCTAGTTTAACCAACCCTATTTCTCTCACCGTTTCCGAGTTCCCAATGATGTGGCTCGAATTTGAAACACCCTGTACATACATATTGATCTTGGTTATGTCACATTGTCAATAATTGATTCATCTTCTTGTGTTTTGAAATTACCTTCCATAGGTGTAGAAACATTTTTGGTCTTCTCCATATTACATTCCTCATGATGTCTTGATATCAGTCATATTGTGTAATTTTTAATTTCTTGTTTTTTTCATTAATCTTCATTTCCAGAAGTCTTTGGACGTTTATATTTTAAGTTTTGAATTCTTTGTGGAGATTTTCCGAAAGATTTTGTTTTTTTCCTAGAGTTCTATAATAATGAAACAATCATTCACAAATAAAACTAAGTAAACGTAATTTTTAAAATATAAAGAATAATCATATAGTCAACCATCCAATGACCTTTTTTTTCAGTTATACATGTAAACCCCATACTTTGTGAGTGGCTTGTTTACATCAAGTCCTACAACTTTTCCTCTACGACTTTTCTCGGAAATGGCACGTATGCGCGCAGGCGACTCGCAAACATGTCGATCTGACGTAGCTATGTTTCCTGATACATGTAGGTAAATCTAATTTTACGAATACTGTTTGATTTTTATGTCTAAATCACGGAAATCAACTTGGCCGACAAAAATAATGGCAAATTGGGGGAGTCCGATACCCCCAAAATGTCGATCTGACGTGGTTATGTTTCTTGATACATGAAAATCTAATTTCACGAATAATGTTTGATTTTTATTTCTAAATCACGGAAATCAACTTGGCCGACAAAAATAATGGCAAATTGGGGGAGTCCGATACCCCTAAAATGTTTGCGAGTCGCCTGCGCGCATACGTGCCATTTCCGAGAAAAGTCGTAGAGGAAAAGTTGTAGGACTTGATGTAAGCAAGCCACTCACAAAGTATGGGGTTTACATGTATAACTGAAAAAAAAGGTCATTGGATGGTTGACTAATAGTTCGACCTTTGAAAGTTCAATTTTTGCATCATTTGGTTGAAATGTTGTAACATTTTTGTGCACTTCTCAGACCGTATAACGCACGATTCAGTTCAAGACACTTTGAAGTAGTATTTTTGAGCCTTCTGGGGTGTTGATAAATACGGCTGTATTCAAAAATTCTTTCAAAAATGCAGCTGGAACATCTATCAGATGAAGTTTCCAATCTTTTTGGACAGAAACTGAGAAAACAGTAGCTAGTCTTATTGTTGATAGTCTGCAAACTGGAGCATAACAAAATTCATCTCCGTTATTATATAGAGCACTCAGCACTTGAAATTCTTTTGCTACCAAACTTGCCTTTTTAGTACCCATCATTTTTGATTTTAGCACCTACAGGCTATTTTTTTCCCAAGATAGATTTTGACATTGAAAACTTTGAAACATAAACAATAACGCTCAGGGCCGTGCGACGCACGCGCGGGCCCCAGTACAGTCATTTTGACGGGCCCCCCTAAAGGGACCCCAAACATTTTTGAGTGTCACGACACAAAAGTCTTTAAAAACTTTTAAAAAACACGCCTCGGGTATATTTTTTTTTTAGGTATTATTGAAGTAAAACCTCTTTGTTTTACGAGAACTCTGATCGCGTGAGGGAAGTATGAACAGCGTATCAGCCACGACCGGTGGAGGGATACGCACATACTTGTCGCTTGATTGAGAGAGATATATTCCATGATTGAAAATTCGAATTAAATTTAATCTCTGGTTGATGGTATATGAATGTAAGATCGGTTTGGCTTTAAAATAAACCGTTAAGGTTCTAAAGCCTGTCAAATTAGCAAAAAAGTAAGTTTCAACTGTCAATATTTCCCATACAGTTGAACTTAGGTGAAGGGTATATGACATGAAATCTGCTCAGAATTTTACATTGTAGAAATACAATCCGAATATTCAATAATACATAGAGTATTCCATTTGTAATAGGAGAGTTGGACCACGACCAAGCAGGTTCCTCAAGTTAATAGGTTGTCTGGTAATGGGTAACTTGATGACGCATCTGGGGTGCCTTATGGAGATTTGCATTGTGTTGTGACACCCACACATCAGATGACGTCATAGAGTTATCAGGCAATCTACCTCTCCCAAACAACCTTGATCACGACAAGCTTTTCTGAAACACTCTGTATGTGTGCGAAAGTGAGTTTTAAAAAAATAATAATTTCAACCATATGAGACACTTCTTTCTAAATGTCGAATAAAAAAAGAATAGTGGGTTCCATTTATAACCAATAACCCCGTACCATAGACCTAAGAACATATTGGCAGGCCGGGCCCCTACACGGAACCCGGGCCCCGGTAATTTATACTGGCCGCACCCCCCTATGCACGGCCCTGATAACGCTTGGCCCTGATTGCTCGCAAAACGAGATGTCCCTGCAGGTTGACATCAGTTACAATGCATGTCGTGCAAATGGCATTTTGCGAGCAATAAGCGGCATTAGCAGCATTGTTCATGTTTCAAAGTTGACAATGTCCAAATCTATCTTGGGAAAAAATAAACTGTAGTGTCTACTGCCACTTGACCTTTACGTAATTGTACATGTTGCCAAGTTTGAAATTTTTCATGAGCT